GTGAGAAATCACTCCCTGTGGAGATGGTTATGTAGAGTCCCTTCTCCATTCCCCTCTTGGGATTCTGGGCATGCATGCACATTTGCCTGGCATTATTTTTTTTGTTTTAAGAATTATTTATTTAATTTAATTTATTATTATTATTATTATTATTTAATTTTGCTATTGGGATGTGAGCTCACCGGAGAGAGAGAATCTGACCCATATGGGTTCATTAACTACTAGGTTATAGGGCCAGCTGATGATCACTTTAGTCTTGGCATAGTTTTGACACAGTTGTGGTCAAACATATCTGTTTATGGCCTTTCAAGTTATATAGTACTGGGTTGGAATCCTGGCTCTCTCACTTTCTGTCTTGTGATCTTGATTGATTTCGTTGATCTGTTTGAAACTCAATTCCTTCATTTAAAGCAAGGGGATTGAAAAAAATGTATATATATTTATTTTGTTTTGTATTGTTATTATTATTTTTAAAATTTGCTACAGGGCATGTGTGCTCACCGGAAAGAAAAAGAGATGGAAAGTGAGGAAACAAGCCACCAGGTCCAGGACTTTAACCATGGTCGGCCATGTGCGAGTCTAGTGTCTCAACCACCATGCCACCTGCTGACCCCAACAAGGGGTTTTTTAAAAGGTTATTTATTTATTTCCTCCATGACTTAGAGGTACAGAGAGAGACAGAGAAACAGTACTTCCAGCAGGGTCCTGACGCAGCCCCAGATCATGGGCACATGTGTTTCTTGCATCCTCTGGGAGTTCCCGTGACATGAACTGAGTGCCTTTCCCTGTGGGAAGCCTCACAGAGTGTCGTTTTATCAGTGTGCCACTGTATAATCACACATTCTCCAAAATGAGTCTATAGTTATACCAAGTGGAGACATACTGTGCAATGAAGTGTTTGGCATAAAACCTAGCACATAGTATGTACTCAATGAATGACAAGTCGTTCATTATTTTTCTTGTTATTCTTTTCACTTAACATTATATGAAGAGAATATTATAATGAAGCTACATGATATTTAGTCTTTCTGAGGTGAAAATAAGTTGTTCTTTGTCATTGTCATTTCTTCCCAAACTTTATTTTTTTTTTAAGTATGTTTTGTTTTTAGAAATTTTTGCCATAGGGCCTGCACACTCACCAGAGAGAGAGAGCACATGAGAGACAGTGAGAGGGAAAGTGAGAAATCACCCCTTAGGGGCAACGGCCATGCTGCAATCCCTTCTCCCTTCTCCTCCTAGAATCTCAGACATACACGTACACACATGCAATGTGAGTTTCAAGCCACTGGGTCTGGAACTTGAACTGCGGTTGGCCATGTGGGAGTCCATGATGTCACTAGTACACCATCTGCTGACCCTGTTCCAAAACTTTAAATGAACTTTTAGACATTTGTTTTCCCATTACTATGCCAGGGCTTTCTCCCTCTTAAAATGAGAGGCCCGACTCTGCGGCACAGTGATATTGTGCTGCTCAGTTAAAGCCGGATCCCACATGGCAACAACACTCTGAATCCCTCACCCAGTTGGCCTGAAACATCCTGGACATGTGAGCAGGTGTCTGAGATCTGATGGGCTAGAGGACTGGATTATGGTGTGACCAGACCCAGTGAAGGAAGCTCCTCTCTCACACTCTCATGTATATGTGCACACACTTTACCATGAATAAAGTGAAACAAAATTACAAACACACACAATACACAAAAAAGGGAGGTGTTGATATGCAAGTGGTCTTCAAACCGTTAATGGAAAATGATGTGCCTGAAATACCTAAAAAATGTACATGGATTTCAAATTTTTTTGCACTAAAATAAATTTTGTATTTTAATTTCATTTTTCCATGAACTTTTTGAAGTCCCTTTGCCTGTTAGGTCATTAGAAAAGTCATGATTTATTTTTCTATGTAAAAAAAATGCCTCATGGGGAACAGCAGGTGCTGTGGTGGCTAAAGGCTCTGGACACATGGCTGACCATGGTTCAAATCCCTGGTGACTTGCTTTCTCACTTTCCCTCTCTCTCTCTCTCCAATCAAATTGGAAAATAAAAATAATAAATAAAGTTAAAATAAAAATAATTATTTAGGGAACCAGCAGTTAGCGTAATGGCTATGTCGCTGGACTCCCACGTAGTTGACCGCGGTTCGTGTCCCGGACCCGGTGGCTTAAAACTCACGCCGGG